AGCAAGCACTCCCTAACAAGAAGAACAGACTAAACATTATTTTCATTAAATTTAGAAAAAAAATACGTGAATCCCACTATGTTGTGTTCGAAGAGATTTAAAGCAACTCAATCCATAGCCCAAAAAAAGCCTTATATAATATAAGATAAAGAAGTAAAAATACCAACACAACAGGAAAAACGAGAGCTCGTCCTCAAATCTGTTTTCACCAAATGTTTCTTGATATTTGACTTCTTATACGAACTTGTTTCTTCTTGAAGCTTGAGATTCTTCTATTCAAAACCTTTCCAATGCAGTGCATCCCATAGGTAGTCAAATGAACTGTTTACACAATGAATTTCCACCTACCTCAACAAATTACAACCATTTCTCTCTTGTACGTAAGTGCACGTGTAAACGATGTGCAACTCAAACAATGACCAGTTGAAACCCGATATTTGGAAAAGAACACTTGGAAGAAATCAAGCACCAGGAGTTTTGAAGAATAGTAAAGAACTGTAGATGGCATTGTGTCCTCTGAAAAGATAATGTCACCTCAAGCCTTTAATCGCCACATATGCTACCAGAAACAGTTTCAGAGCCTTCACAGATCTACCTCTCAAGGAAATCCTTCAAAGAAAATAGTTGATTTCCATCCTACAATATGACATATGGTAAAAAGTAATTTAGCAACATGTTAAAGAATAACAGCTAGAGGAATAAAACTCTTTTCCTAACTATTTTGCATCAATAGTCACATGTTTTTTCATGCTAATATAACTTCACTTTTCTCTTGTTAAATCCCTTATGAAAGATAACAGCCATAAGAAATCATTTCAAAGTTATATGTGATTTTCAACATGTGGCAAGTATAGAAAGAAGATACAATAAAAAGCAGCAGAGAGAATATAATGATGACAGAGATCATCTCAAGCAAGAATAGTCGATTTTTTATTTTATTTATTTATTTATTTATTTATTTTTTATTTGTACTTCTTTTGTTAGAATGCAGTCGTATACCCTTGTGTTTTGTTGCAAAATGAATTGAATTTTATCTCCCTACCCCTATGCCCCCCCGCACCCCCTCTTTTTTCTGGTCTTAGAATAGGCTACTAAACCTCCAATAGTATTAAAACCAAAAGAATTCACTCTCAATCACAACCCCTAGGAGTATGTATGGCATGTGTAATACATACAACTTAATAATGCAACGAATAATAATTTAACATCTTCCTTAATATTGTCCAGTTTTATTAAATCCACTTCACCAAACGTGTCACGTGGGAATGGAACCAATACAAACAAGGAGCTAAAATGCAACTTGGACGAACACAGTTAAAGTGCATTTTACCCGTACTTCTAGCATTCATTACAAAATCAAAACTCAGGAGTCCAGGAAACAATTATTCAGCAGCAGAATAATAGCCATTGTCAAACCTTGCCATATTCTTGATTCAAGGATTGCCTAACAACTGTTGCCTGCTGTATTAGCCTTTCCACTGCTGAATATTTTGGCAGGTTAGCATGTGCTGCAACCATGAGTCACGTGATAGGAGAAAGTGATTAACGATGAAGAGAAATTTGAGAGACCACAATCATCATCATCATCATCATCATGATAATAAAAGGAGAATACAAGGAAAATATTCCCACGAATTGCTACAATTTTAAGAAACCAATACCAAGAATTGCCTTGTTTAAATTCTCTGCAACACGCTGTCTGTATTCCGAGCTTGAAAGATGAAACATAGGGGATTTTTCTGGTTCCTCATAAGCTAGCAGAGACATGAAATCCTGCAGGGAAAAATATTTGTCCATCATTTCATGAAAAAAAATTATCTAAATTTAAGTTAGAAAGCTCAAGTTAACTTTTGTTGGGACCAAACGTAAGTGCGCAATATAATTTTACCAGAGAAGGGACATACTTCAATTTTTTCAACGTATTTCTGCATCTTCCCAAAGGGAGTCAACTTCATTTGAGCAAATTCCAGAGCTTCAGTGCTGCCACAGTAAAAGAATTTAAAAATTTACCTTCATTAGGAATATATCACTATTACCTACTCACCATTTCTTCGAGCAGATGAGGTCAGCAAAATGAAGGCTCAAAAGATCAAAATGTAAATCCTTATTGTTTTCTAACAAGACAGGAGCGAAATCTTGAGTCAATTCAATGGCCTTCAATGCATCCCCGTCTAGTGCGGAATGGAAAATTCCTGGAAGTAAATGGCATTATTGTTACCGTGCATAAGAAAATAAAATAATCTTAGCAGTTACACAAATAATAGAACTCTATTGCACCAATCTTATATAGCATGTAAAGAACATCTGGTGAACAAAATTTCCACTGTTCTAATATGGTCAAATTATGCAGAACAAAATACTGATTTTTAAGACAACCCTATAGACAAGTATAGTAACTTTAACAAAACAGTGTTCATTTCCCATCAGATTTTTTTAATTAAAATATCTTAAACATTATTGACTTATTTTTTTATTATTGCGCTCAGGCAATTATTGACAAGTAGTCATCTTATCTATGAACCACACAAACATCTGGCATTTTATAATGGATGTCTTATATTCTATTCTCAGTATGTTTGCCACACAAACAAAGCTTATTGTTAGTCTTGGCAGGCAGCACAAAACATTAGAAAGAGACAATGAAAACTTCATCCACTTCTCAAGCAGTATAAAATATAGAGAATCCAATACCAATTATGTTGTCTACAATAAAAACCACTTAATTAAACATAAAGTTCGATTATTTATCGTTGGGGACAAATAGCATTCCTTTACCCTTTTCAATAACTCAAATTACAACTACATCTCACTGACCTTTCAAAATATATCTTCTAGACATTTATCAGTTAAAAAAAAAAAAAATCTCCTTTTGAATTTTCTCAATAGCATTAATGCTACTAGTTTCCTTTTAAACTATTTCATAGTTGTTAAACCAACTCCTTCCCGTCCCCTTCTTATCCTGCACCAGTATGGGTAAGATAGGTAAATAAAACAATCTATTACAGATTTTAAGTACATTCATACAAGAAATATCATGAAATTATACTATGAGGATGTGATAATTTAATTAATCTTGTTCTTATAGCACATTGCCAATTATAATTTGGATCTTGCTACATGTACATCAAGATTTACCTAAGGGATTACATAATGCCACATTTCGCTCTAACATTTGACAGTTTAAAACATAATAAACTTCTTAATTCAATATTTTCCCTCTACATCATTTTTGGTAACCATTTATGTACCATTTTGATGTACAATTAGCAAAATCTTTATAATTTCATCATTATGGGCATTGACAAATTAAGATTTGTCCTTCAAGCTTTAAATGAATTATGGAACAATAAACTCATATAAGCTTCAAGTATAAGTTCTTATCCATTGTGTCCTTGAAGCAGTTATGCACAAGATATGATAGGACAATTTTGTGGATATCTTTGTCATTTACAGCCTGCAAGGGGTGAAATGAACAGTCAAACACCAAAAGAGTATATAAAACAGTACACAGAAGAAACTTATAGTAAAGTGAATATAGTAAACAACAGCATCAAAAATCCCAGAAAGTTTAGAAGAAAACGGAGGCAAAAGGACCATCATGCCCACTACCATTAGGTTAGGCTACTTTCTAAATAGGGAAATGATACAAAGGAAAAACACCATTTTAATCCATGAGAATATGCAACCTGTTGTTACATGGATACTACAGATACAATTAGATAACTACATGAATAATGAAATTTAAACTTAGACCCGAAAAAGTTGAAACAAGGTGATATTTAGCATATAAACCAAAATCCGAAAGAGTAGCAAACAATATTAACGTAGGTTTCTCAGAATGCAATATCAACTGTTAGAAATCCAAAACCAGGGTAATCATCTTCATTAGACACAATACAAACTGTCCACCGCAAGATTCATAAAGGCCAGCCCACCAATACGTAGGCCATCCATCTAACGAGAAAAGGATATTAATTGCGGTCTGCCCACTTAGAGCCCCACCTCCCTCCCTAATCCACAATTAAAGTACCATATGCTCTCTCTAAACTAGATTCTCTCTTTCCAGAGCAGTCTGGTGATTAGCCTATCCTCCACTGCGCAAATAGATACTGTTAACAAATAATTTCTACAAAAAGAAGTGGCGCACAGAATCTCTGAATATACATGTTCTGCAACATGAAATAGATCCGAACAGTAATACAATTAAAAAAGTTGTTTACCATAAAGAGTAGCCACCCAAAAAGCAAAATAACTTCCGATAATCAATTACATCAAAAAAGTATATATTCCAGTTTCATACTAACTTAACTTGGTGCATTATTTTCTAATGGGTGCCCTGATTACTTCCAAACCAAGCATACATAAAATGCAAACAAAGAATGAAAACCCAACTTAAATTAACAATTAAAATCGGAATCTTGAAAATATAGCCACAAAAAATGCAAAATTAGAGAAGATATTTTCAACCCAAATCAAAATCATAAATCATAGCCCGAGAAAAACCGAGAATGACTTACAATATTTTCCCATTGTCGTGGATCAACATCCATTTTCCAGCGCCCCTTCTAATTATCAGCAAAAATTGTATGCTTTTATATTCACTTGTACACAAAAAGTCAACCAAAAATTAAGATTATATAAAGAATAGTTGCGTGCACTAATTCAATGAATGATTGATTTTCGTGCGTGTAAAGCCAGAGTGCAGATTAATATCGTTGCCATGTGAAACTGCTTTTGTAGGGGAGGCGGTTCCTCTGCAGTTCCATTGATGAAGTTGTATGTAGTGTAAACTGAAGTCGTGGAAACGTGAATTTCCTATAAGACTCAAAACGCGATTTTAAGTCTAAAGATTAACGCTGAAACGAATTGGGCAGATAAGACTGAGATGTTATGCTACTATTTTCATTTGTTTTTAGTTAAAAAGTAAAAATGTTTAAATTGTCATGAAAAGATAGAGAAAGAGGAGAGAATAAAAGTTAATAAACCTGTGTATCTTTTATTAATAACCAAAGTTCTACATTTATAGAAAAGAATTAAGGATACAACGATAATAATTTTTAAGGCTGCAAGAGTACAATTGACATTCACTAATAAACTTATCATTTACAACACTCCTCTTGAATAGCATATTACAAAATGTCTGCATCGCTAAAACTTTATTTGATAAAAATTCAATATGACAAAATAATCAAATGAAGGAAAAAAAATTCAATTACTTTGTAGTATTAAAAATAAATACTACCTCATTAAAAGTTACTAGGAAAACTTAGTGGGATAAATCTAAGCAAAGGAAAAAGAGTACAACTACTCCACCTGATGTTAATCACTGAAAATCTTTGAGTCGAAACATTCCAATAGCATGAACCAATTTCTTGAATGTAGATATTGGCAATGTTTTTGTGAATAAATCGATTACATTGTCACTTGAGCAAATTTGTTAGATATCGATGTCAATTTTCTTTTGAAGCTCATGTGTATGAAAGAAATTTTAGAGAAATATGCTTCATATTGTCATCTTTAATATAGCATCATTGTGTTGTGTAATACAAGCTACATTGTCTTTATACAAAATTATTGGATTATCTTTTGTAAAAATTAACCCACACGATTCTAGGATATGAAGGGTCATGTTCCTCAACCATATACATTATCGGCATGCTTCATGTATTACAATAATTTCAGAATAATTTAAGGATATTGCTATCAAGGATTGTTTCACAAGTATCAATGATGTAGTTGTTTCTCCACATATAAATACATATTCTGTTTATGACTGAACTTTATATGGGTCAGAGAGATAACTTAGATCTGCATATTCCACTAAAGCGGATTTCGACTTTTGAGAATATAATAATTCCAAATCAACAGTGCCCTTTGGGTAACGAAAAATATATTTATCACTATTCCAATATCTTTGAGTTGGTTTAGAGTTATATCTTGCAATGAGATTTACAGAAAAGCTATATCGGGTCAAGTGTTGTTTGCAAGTTAATGTTCCAACTGCACTAAGATATGATACTTAAGGACCAAAAACGTTTTCTCCACCTTTAAGTGGACGAAATTGATCATTTTTCTTATCGAGTTATCAAAAAACCATAGATGAAGCCAATAGATGTGCATTATCCATATAAAAATATTTTAAAAAATTTCTGTATATGTATATTGATGAACAAGTAATCCTTCTAGGAAGCGTTCAATTTGCAATCCAAAACAAAATTTCATTTTTTCGAAATCTTTCATCTCCAATTCATTTTCAAGTAATCTTCAATTTTGTTGTACTCTTCATGAATTCTAATTAAATATAAATTACCACAATTGCAAATCCAATATTTGTTTTCTTTATAAAAATACATGGACAGACATGTCAGTGTCAGCCCAGCAAAGTGCTTTCGTCGTTGGTGTTCTTTTCGATCTCTACGCATTTCACCACTCCACCGAAAATTCGCTCTGCCCCTACCGTGCTCCAACTTAGTAGTTTCCACCGCCTGTTCAAGGTTGAGCCCTGGGATTTGACGGTGGACTTACCATCCTTTAATATATATTCTCTAAGACGATTATACCACATGATACCACGTGCATCTGTATTGTCTTAATCCATATAATAATCTTTACATTTAAATGAAAACATGGTGCTCGAGCATATCATTTGTTTTTGGCACTTTAAGTCCTTCAGGGATTATCAAGTGAACTATACAAATAGACAGTTACTATATCCATAAAGTGCATATCAAGTTTTCGTGGCAAGTCAAGCTAATTAATAATTTAAAAGTGATGGTGTCACAAGAGAATATGTTTCATCATAATCAATTCCAGATCTTTGTGAGAAACATTGAGTTATGAGTCGAGCTTTATATCTTGTAATTTCATTATTTTCATTTCTCTTTCGCACAAAAACTCACTTGTATCTATAGGAATTACATTTTCAAGTTTTCAAACTATAGGTCCAAATACTTTTCTTTTCTCTAAGGAATTCAATTCCGCCAGTATGATCTCTTTCCATTTTGGCCAATTATTTCTATTTTCGACAGTGTAACAAACTATGGTTTAGGATTCTCATTTTGCATAATATCAAAAATCATGTTACAGCCCAAAATATTGTCTATAGCAACATTATTTTATTCCCATAATTTACGAGATAACAAATAATTTATTGAAATCTCATTTTTTTGGAAACTTGTAGTATTTCAAGAACCATATTTTTAATATTTGATTTATCAATCTTTTCTAATGTTATTTTTTTCGAAGTTTTTTGTTGGCTTTTCTATTGTACTTTTTTTTTTGTTTTTTTTTGAGGTATAGAGTTTTTGACCAACTAGTTGGCCATTTCTGATATATTTGAGATTCATTTACTATAACATATTATCATACGAGGACGTCAATTTTTGCATGTATATTTTCTACTAAAATATATGACTTTGTCACTTTTCTTGTATCAAAAAATACAACATATAATTGATTTGCAACATTTTGCAAATGAACGATTTTTTCAAGCTCTTGTTCATATTGATTGCTATGGGGATCAAAGTGAAATAGAGTTGTTTCATTCCAATAAATTATATCTAATTTTTTAGGATATAGTTTTTGCCTTCCCAAAGTTGGGAAAGTCATTTCATCAAAATGATAATCTGCAAAATATGCAATAAATAAATCAACCGTTAAAAGTCAAGATATTTAATAATTGATAGTGAATCAAAACCCACATAAATCTCAAGTCATCGTTGAGGACCCATTTAGTACGTTGTGGGGATGAAATAGAGACTTGGAAAATACAACCAAAAATCCGTATGTGAG